TCAGAGAACGAACACTCCCGCCAGGAAAGGGAAGGGAAAGGGAAGTGTAGGTAGCTCGAGGAGGAGGTTACATTCAGGGGAAGTTTTAATAAACACGTGGTGAGATAAGCAGGTTTTTTTTTTTAAGAGTGAGGTGAAGCGACTAGTGGAGAGTGGAGGATAAAGACATCAGAGAGGAGATGCAGCCGGTCGCTGCTGGACGTGCAGGGAAACCCTGCTGCCATTGAGTCCATTCCGACGCAGAATGACCCTAACCAGAGTTTCCAAATCCTTCCCGGAGCAGACAGCCTCATCTTTCTCTTGAGGATCAGCAGGTGGGTTTGAATCACAGCTCGCTTGGTTTCACAGCCCAGGCCTTACCCAAGTGCCACCAGGGCTCCTTACCAGCAAGAGAGATGCTAATGACAATCCCTGCTCCACCATGGGAAACAAAAATAAACAAAATAACCTATCTAGCCAAACATTCAGTGCAACAATAAGCAGCTAGTGGGTGGTTTTTATGTGCCTAGAAACAAGACAAGAACAAAAATCACCACCCAATGTTAAATTCAATAACATAAACAAAATTAAATAAAAAAAACAAGCGAAAGTTTATCCCCTTGATCAGGTCAGACTAAGGAAAGCATGCTCCACCTTCTCACAAGTCTGTGTGAGGATACGGAGTCTCTCTGCAGGGACGTGGTGCATCCCCACAGGCAACACATAAAGCAGCATCGGGGACTAAGGCTGTTGGTCAAAAGAAAGACCAGCAGTGTGAAACGGCCCGCCACTCTGAACGAGGGAGATGCGGCGCTCGACTCCCCTAGATAGTTACAGGCTCAGAAACCCAAAGGCCTGGTAAGGTGACCAGATTTTAACATTGGTAAAGCGGGACAAAAGCGGGACACCATTGATAAAACTCATATCCTGGCGAAATAGCCACATGGCAGCTGAAAACCGTATACCCTAGCTTGTTATGCATTCTTTCCAAAAATTGGGACTTTTTAAAACACTGCGGGAAGCGGGAAAATTGTTAAAAATTGGGACTGTCCCGCCAAAAGCGGGACAGCTGGTCACCTTACCAAAGGGGCATTCCTGCGCTGTCCTGCAGGGTCTTATGAGTTGGTATTGACTCATTAGCAGTGGGAGGAAATGTTTCTATTTCAGTGTCTAGCTTTCACAACAAGTGACTGGAAGAATCTCCTGTAGGCTTGCTGTGCTTGATGTACTGAATGCTTCAATAAAGACAAATGGCAAACGGCAAAAGACTGTGGCAAAATTTTCCCAACATCAGCAGTTATGCTATCTAAACCTTCAGTCCTCTGATAGGCAACTCTCTGGTTCATCTCTTCAAACCTTCCAAACAATCCCAATTAGATGTAGCCAAAAGGATTCAGTCCATCAGGCCACCACTCACTGCCATCGCCAGTGCTGACTCTGTATGTAGGTTTCTGAGACTGTAACTGTTTACGGGAGTAAAAAGTCCAGTCTTTCTCCTGAGGAGCTGCGGGTGGTTTTGAACTGCAGACAATGTGGATTTCAGCCCAGTTTGGAACCACTACACGACGAGGGCTCAATATGCTTAGCATTAGTTCTTTCAGATTTCTTCACAGCCTTTGAGCAGCCATACTGTTTTTGGAAGAGAAGGAGGAAAGCAGAGAACGTGTGCTTTGTGTTTCATCCTGAAATGTTATCCTTAGGGACAGACTGGAAAGGGCTCTTGCCATATGACCCAGGCCTACAGTATATGTCAGATAACCCAAACCAAACTGAATCCACTGCTGTCATAGCAACCCAACAGGACGGAGAAGAACTGTTCCCGTAAGATTTCAAGACTGTAAATTTTTACACAAGCAGACTGCCACACCTCTCTCCCATGTACTGAACCACTGACCTTTAGGTTAGCAGCCAGGAACTAACTCACTGTGCCACCAGGGCTCTTTTGATGCCTGATCTCAGTGTCACAGAGCCAGTTCTGACTCATAGCCACCCTCTGGGACAGGGTGGAGCTGGCCCTGTGCGTTCTGAGACGGTAACACTTTATGGGATTGGAAAGCTGTGTCTTGCCCCTGCAGAATGGCTGATGGTTTCAAATTGCAACCTGATGATGATCAGCAGTGCCAGGCCGACCCACTATGCCCACAGGGTTCCTATGTGTCAGACAGAGGCTGCGTATTTCAAGGGTCAGGACTGGAGAAAAGAAATACATTTTTGAGTGGCGAGCCTAGAAAATGTGAACAGAAAAGGCCTTTGAAGTCATTGAGGCAAAACATCTTATTTGATAAGAGGAAAATGATCCATCAGAAGGCCAGCTGGTGGGCGTCTAGCTTAGAACGCAGATGTCCTGAAACCTCATCCAAGATTTTCCCCTATTATATCCTGTTATCATATTTCATACTGAATTAAATTTTCAAATACACGATTTTCTCAACGAAAAATTATAGGTGGGGAGGGGGTGCCTTTAGGCAAAATTCCCCATGCAAGATTGATAAATGAATGTTCCCAGCAAAGAAGAGGGTAGCGGCAGACAGTGGTCCCCGTATAAAACTAAACAACAAAGAAAGACTTCTGCAAGGAGGAACCGTATCGAGCTGGCATGTGCTGTGCTGGGTGTGCATCAGGCTCTTTATTTTGCCCTATTTGCACCACCTCTCAACCTTGCGGCCATTTCCTTTCCTCCTCTAACCATTTCCCTACTGAAACACGAACCAAGTGCTGCAGAGTTTGGTGATGAGGGAAAAAACCCCGGAATTGTGATTAAATGGAGACTTGGGAGATTTTTCTGTGGATAATTACTCATATTCCACCTCCCCAAGGAGGGTGGGGGGAAGAATTTCAATTAGAACATAAATTCTCTCTAAAAATCTTTTTCCTCAAAACGTGGGGCTGAAGGGATCATTTCTGGGTATTGAGAATCAGTTTACACCTCAGGAAAACAAAACAAAACAAAACAAACCATAACTTGTTTCTAAATGTGTCTGACTGGGAACAAGTATGTGTGTGGTGGTGGCGGGGTATATTAAATTTTATTTCAAATTTAAAAGGGAAAGAAGGGAGGGACGGACAAATGAAGCAGGGTGAAAAATAGGTAATCGAGAGAGGGCAAAGACAAAAAAATCTTGCTAATTACAGGACTTTCTGAGCAGAATATTTCTCTCCCTTTCATAAGTTGGAAGCTCTTGAATAATTCATGGCGGGCGTCGACAGGCTGCCTTTTCTCTAGGTGATGTATAACTGAGCAGGCGAGAGCTTGGGGAGGCTCCCCACATCAGCCGCCACTCTTGCTCCCGAGCACAGGGCGCTGCTCCTCTGGCGCGCAGCTTCGGCTTCCGAGCTCAGCATCCTTACTGCTGCTGCCTGCCCGCCCGCCCGTCTGGGCTTGCAGCCGCCACTTTCCTTTCCCTAGCCCTGCTGCCAGCTGCTAAGTCTCCTGCAGCGGTGGTTCCTGCTTGGGACCCTGTGTGTGGAGGCTGCTTGGGAGAAGCAGGCACTTGCTCCCGGCACAGATCCCAGCTGAGATCCTCCTGTTGATTTCTGGACCACAGATGCTGCTCCTGAGGAGGTATTTGCTGGCATCTCCCCGTCTACTACTGCAAGCTTAGGACCAGCCCAAAGCAAGGTACCCCCCCACTCCCTTCCTGTGGCATTTCCCCCAGGGGGACTGTCCCTGTTTCATCCTGGAAACTAGGAACTCCATCTGGCAGTAGACTCTGTGTGTGTGTGTGTGTGTGTGTGTGTGTGTGTGTCCTGGGGAGGAGAGGAGCAAGCGCTTGGCACTGCCAGTCCTGGGGCTTCTCCGGTGCGGGCTGAAGGCAAAGAGACCTTTCCCCTGGCCCAGGAGACATTTCCGAGGCGGGCACCTGTCATCCGCCACCCCCGGGCTCCTGGGGCTCCCCCTCCTCCAGCCCCCGACTGTGCTTCAGTGCTCTGTGTCAGTGGTGGCGGGCTGACGGGGAACGTCTTTGCCCTCCAGGCGGGCCAGTGTCACCATGGGCCGCAGCGCGCGCAGCAGCCGACGACGCTAGCCGGCGAGGTGTGAAGAGTTGGGCCAGCATGATCAACTCCTCCTCCGCGTCCACCTCCGCCGCCCCCGGGGGCTCGCTGCTGCTGCTCTGCGAGGAAGAGGAGTCGTGGGCGGGCCAGCGCATCCCCGTGTCGCTCTTGTATTCGGGCCTGGCCATCGGGGGCACGCTGGCCAACGGCATGGTCATCTATCTCGTGTCGTCCTTCCGCAAGCTGCAGACCACCAGCAACGCCTTCATCGTGAACGGCTGCGCCGCGGACCTCAGCGTCTGCGCCCTGTGGATGCCGCAGGAGGCGGTGCTGGGGCTCCTGCCCGCGGGCGCCGCCGAGCCCCCCGCCGACTGGGACGGCGCCGGCGGCAGTTACCGCCTGCTCCGGGGCGCGCTGCTGGGCCTCGGGCTCACCGTGTCCCTCCTGTCCCACTGCCTCGTGGCCCTGAACCGCTACCTGCTCATCACCCGGGCGCCCGCCACCTACCAGACGCTGTACCAGCGGCGCCACACGGCGGGCATGCTGGCGCTGTCCTGGGCGCTCGCCCTGGGCC